AAAATCAACCAAAATGGATGTGTTTTTTCTTGGGAGAGCAATAATATGGACAGTAGACAAAAAACAACGACCTCACACTAGTTAACTAAAATTGTGAAGTAAGTTGCCTGAAATTTTTAAGCTGGCACTTTTTTTTTAACAGGGTGGCAACATAAAGACATAAACAAACATAAAGATGATGAATGTGTACAATACAAGTTGTGCAAGTTATCATTCTGTAGGCTAGCTGGGAGTATGTTAAATCATATATGTCTAAAATTGGATATACCATAAGGCAGAGCTATTAGAGCTCGTGTGCATCTTTGAAAGGGAGGAAAATGTCTTTCAATAAAAGTAGGCCATAAGTTGTGATGTTTACTGAAAGATCCTTGTTAAAACTGCAACGTGCCAATTAAAAAATAAGATTCTTAAAAATCCCAACAAAAAAAGTGTATGTATGTACACCACCATTAGCTTGGCACTAAATCCCATAGAGTTTTTATTTTTATTTATTTATTTACTTTATTTCAGTTAGTGATAATTTCAGTTCGTTTTAAGGCTGCACTTTTAGTTTTAGTTTTGTTTTTATTCAGTTTCGGTGTTAATATTATGTGGAAAGCTGTGATGGTATGTATTTGATAAGGGTAGGATAAACTGTTCAAAATACATGATTTCTATAAAAACTACAAAACAGCATTGTTGGTGACATTTATTACAACTCCAACACTGTTCTTATACATTAAATATACTGACTAGGATTTAATGCATCTAAGCGATAGTCTCTCACAGTCTTGTTGACATTCTCGTCTCTGTAAACATCTGCACCAACACGTCTTCAAGCCTGTGATGTTTAGTGATGAGTCACTGAAAGCTCTGAGGCAGTTTACAGTGTTTGTTTTCCATGCATGGAGCATATCACAGCATAGTTAGCATTATTCTCTTTTAGCATTACTTTTAGCATTGCTCCTTTCCCTTTTCCCATCGCTGCCAGCAGGCACACATCTGCTTCTATCAAAAACCAGCTCACACTCAGATACTCCCAGACTGGACTGTAATTTAGTTCAGAAGAGATTTGCTGTTTTAGTGATGCTAACATAGATGTACACGCTCGGCTAGGCCGCAAGCTTGACGACTAAAAGCCTAATGACTAAAACCAAAGGTTTTTATTCTCTGTGATTGTATATGGGGGTTGTTCAAACTTACATATGACTGTACATGTATTAATTTACTACCCAAGTCTGATCATACGTGGGCAGTGTCTGCATGCAAAAGACACACTAATCTAATCCAACATCATTGCTAGCATTGAACATAGTTTGCTGGTTTAGTTCATTTCTGGGTTTGCTGGAACAGATCAGTTTTGATGCAGAGCCTTTGGTCCTATGGTGCGGAGCTCAGCTCCTGGAAGTTGTAAATAAAAAAAACACAGCTAAGGCAGAAGGAGAATATTTCATTGGTTACCTATTACCCGAGCTGCTGTCAGTGGCTCACCGCAATTAAAAATGATGCCTACGATGTGAATACAACACCGGTGGATAAATTCAAAAACATCCTCGACGCCAAGGGATGGAAAAACAGCAGTGAACTCGTTATAAAGGCTCTACCTCCTGTGGCTTAGCTGGCACCATGGAAGCATGGTTGTAGTCTTTTCTGAGCTTGGAACAATGAGTCATCTTGTATTTACAATGATAATTAAGAAAATGCAAGCTTCAGAGACAGCAAGTATGTGGCTCCAAGGACGGTTGTATCTTCACATTTTTAGGAGTGCATTTAAAACCAAATGACTTTTCATGCTGGGAGATACATTGTGTGCTTGATATATGGCTGTATCTGATATTTTTATCAAAATTGAGTTACTGTGCGCATATAGTTAATGTTTTTCAGTTGTTTATTGTTACTGTGGTGATTTTTTGAACATAAATGAGTCATAGAGCCTTTATTTTTCAAAAAAGTAAAGTGTTCCTCTTGAAAATGGCATACTATGGCACTATAAGGTCCTATCTACATCAGCCAATCAGAGCAGCTGATGAGTGTGAGATAGCCAGTTAAAATTCATGTTTTTCCCATGGGCATCTTTTAGGGTAATTGGTTGCTTGAAAATGAAATGCTAAATTAAGCTAACTCCTTGTCTAGCTGGTGTTATTTAGCCAGCTAGCTAACTAATGTCCAGCTTAATTAGCAAAATGACTGAATTGCAAAGCAGCGAGCTAGCGTTAGCTACCACAGTAGCCAGATATATTGGCTAATATACATAATCTCATAAAAGTACATTTTAAACATTTAATTTCAGAAATACTGAAGATAACAGCACAGAGCAAGACACACACAGAGACAGGAAAATATTTCTAGTGTTTTTGTGCAAAAATAAATACATAGTTAATTATTAATGAACATGTTGGAGCCTCTTTTTTCTTTCCTTTTTCTACTTGATTTAGCACAGTATATTTATCTTGTCATAAGGCTTTTCTCATATACATGTAGTATGCATAGTACAATCAATTTCCTTAAACTATCATATTCTCATACTGATGTAGAACAATAGATTAGATTACTTCAGAATTCTCATCTGGATACGTTTTAATCAACATGCTCATGATACTGATATTGCTCATGAAACCTGTAAATATCTGAGGACAAAATTATTATGAAACTGTAAAGTTATTTTCATTTCATGTATTTTAAGTATTTATGATAATACAGTGTGAACAGTGTGGTTAAGTTTCCATTCTAATGTGGGTTTATTTGCAGATAGAACCATATAATTCTAAACTTAAAGAGTTTCAGAATTAAAAGCTTTTATCTGCATTTAGTCCATTACAAAAAGGACTATTTCTAAGCTGACTGTATATGTAGTCTATGCCAGTATACAAGTATCAGTGTCACACAGCAATGTTGTTATTTAGTTTTAAAAGTATTGGCACACAGAAATGTAATTAATTGCAATGTATGTAATTTCCTAGGTGCTTAAATATCATCTGATGCCATGATATATTTTAGAAAATATTGAAATCAATCAATACTGCACAGTATTAGTCCAATACATTTTCTAGTTCGTTGCTGCAATTTTTTTCCTAGTAATTTTTGACCGTTTCTACTGATCCATTTGTCATGAAATATGAAAATATATAAAGGACAGCTGGTGTTACCAAAAGATAATAAAAGAGTCCCAGAGTGATGTAATAAGGTTGATGTTTAGCAGTAAATGCAGCAAAAACATGTCTGAACATGTGAAAATCTTTGTATGAGTTAGTTAACACTAAAGATGCATTTATAATGTATTTTTGGTGGGATTCCCCTTTTCACTTCACTTGTTCAGTCTAGGCCTGACACATGCTTTAAGTTCTGTTTCTGGCCTATTGATCCACATGCTTATCATTGTAGAACATAGAAATTGATTTTTACAAAGTCACTGAGTTACATATAACTACCAGGACTGCTACCCTTTAAAAGTTATTTGGAAAAAAATATTGATAAGTCTATCTTGAAAAATAAGACCTTGAATGCTGGGTACTGGCATTGCGTATAAAATTGGTAGCTGAGACTTGTATAAACATCTCTTTAATTTCTCTTCATCTCCAGACAATCAAAGCAATTGCCCTTTGAGCCACTATAGTGAATTAGCATAATGAGCCACCGAGGGTAGAGCTACCTGCATTACCTTATCAATTTGCAACCCTGGCTCCAACTGCGAGTCAATTTCAAAAAGCACCCAATTAATTTACATTAGACAGTCAACATAATTATGTTGATGAGAAGTCCCTTGTTTTACATTTTCAGGGGGTGTACGTGCAGAGTAGGTACTTTTTTTTTACATGTTTAAAGTTAAGAAAAAGTACTTGAATCATTAAACAGAGCCAGCCAATGCAAATCAATAACTGGCAGCAGTGCTTCCTCATTTACAGGAACATCTTTTACATGATTAAATGTCAGACTGTTGATTTGGTTGTTGGTTTCTATACTTAGGCCTTTTTCTTTTTAAATGGCACCATTCCTTTCCCCGTGAATTCATCTTAAACTTCAGCACTAATGTATGTCTTCCACTGTATCCCTTATTTTATAATACCAATGAATCTGCTAATTATCAAGCTCTTCGACAGCTGAATTATGTAAGTTCAGACATAGAAAAACTTGGACATCATTCCTCTAGAATATGAGCTTTTTATTAGTAGGCTTACTATTAAAATATGTAACTGTGAATATTCCTAGCAATGGAGCTGAAATGATAGAACACAGGCACTTACATTATATAATTGTACTAAAGAAAGATTAATCATATTTTCTATGTTTTAGGGAATGTAGGTGAAAATATGTGAGGACAGATATGTGAGTATTAAAGTCAAAAGCAGAGACAGAAAAGCATGTTGGGGCACCACCACTAGGGGCGCTGTGTCTCCCTCTTTAACGCCTTTCCAGTATTGTTTTCATCTGAAGACCAACATTGAAGCTGAACGGGGAAAAGACAACGAAAATATTTGGGAAATAATAGAGATTTTGAGTAAATAATGACATCCATTAGGATAAAAGAATATAATCACACCTTTCCAAAACTTTCTGTTAATATCTGTTAAAAACGTCTGTTAATATTATTTTGATTCAAGTCAGGTTATTGATGCCACACTCATTCGTGTGTGTGTGTGTGTGTGTGTGTGTGTGTGTGTGTGTATATATATATATATATATATATATATATATATATATATATATATACATACACACACACACACACACACACAATGTGTACACACATATACAACATATATATAATTGCTACTTTGTGTTTTGTCCTTGTTATATGGTATGTCTGTTTTTCTAATATGTATTTGTGTATTAAATCATCCGATCAGACTGAAGAGAGGAGTAAATATGTTTTTAAAAACCTTTGTTTGGTTATAAAACTAGCCTCTGATTTTTTATGAATGTCTGGTTGTTCGTTTCTCCCTCCCTTTCTTTGCATGTCATTACGCGGCGCTCTCTCTCTCTCTCTCTCTCTCTCTCTCTCTCTCTCTCTAGGTGAAGTAGCTACAACTCGCATCGTCAGAAAGAAAGCAGGTGTCCAACATGGCGAACGCGGCCAACGGATCTCTCGCAGCCCTTCTGTTTTTACTCACGATTGCGGCAGCTGTTCTTAAAGGTAGGACACAATTCAGACTAACACTTCAGCTCCCGCGTTTACAGGAGGGGGAAAAATCTCCGGAACGAGCAACAGCGAGGGGGGCGTAAAAACTAACTGAGCTCTAGCGCGCCAGTGCTGGATACGCTACGCCATATGGATGGTGATGAGGGGGGAAAAGTAAGAGTTGGCGAAAATGTTAATGGCTGGCAAAGTTGCTGGTGCACACGAAAGCGAGGCGGATTTCTCACTCCACTGCTTCTCTTGTTGACTTCAGATGACATCCGCAGATGTTTTATTTCTCAGCTTTTGCCTATGAGCCACTTTAGCCCGCGGAGCTGGTAGCCTAAAGCAGAAGTGGGAGAAAGAGTGCTGTGCGAGTCTGAGTGCTCGCAGTGGGGCTTCTTTACTTTATTCATCAGCAGAAAGCCCCGACCATTCACTCACTGTCCGATAAATACAGCAGTTTGTGAATGGCGATGCGGGCTGAATCACTGCCGGTGAGTCTGGGAGCTGATGTGATTTGCTTTGGATGATGGATGACAGACTCGTTGGTAATCCTCGTACACACACTCGCTGAGACGGCTGTGCTATGCGGCATCTCTTCCCTGTAGCCAGCAAAAACTGAAAGTGTGCGGCTGTAAAAAGTGTCCGAAACGGACCGCGATTCGCCGCAGCTACTTTGTTGTTGTGTTGTTGGAGCTGGCCGTGTGGGTGTTCAGTGAAACTGTGCACGATCCTCTCTGCACGACTGTCTAACGATTCCTTGTGCAAAATAAAGTTTCCTGAAATCTGGCTGGGGGCTCCGCTCACGCTGGCTGCATTATTTCAGATTTCGCAGCATTATGAATGTGTTGAATGCCACTCGTAGTGCTGCTGCTCTCGGGTTGTGCATTACTGCGACCATTCATGCTTCCTCTCCTCTCCTAAAGCTCCCAGCGCTTTTTCAAAACACCGAATTAAGTTAGCCGACTAGTTCCTCATGTGCAGCATGTCCGCACACCTACACTGTGATGGAAAACCACGGAAGCAGAAAGAGACTTATTACAGTCCGGTAATGTGTCGCGCTCCTCTGCTTTGGCCATTGCAGCGTGTCGCACGAGGCTGAAGTTGCCTTCTTATTCGCTGAATTTTCCGGTCCACCTTAAATGGTGCAGCAGTTCCGTTCTGGCGCCTGTACATTTAAGGTGGAACGGAAAACTCGAGTAGCTTCGTGCTTGTCGCTGGCAGCAGGACGGCAGCATGAGAGGAACACAGCTGGGAGAAAATGAATGGTTTAGTAGGGAGTAGTGCAGTTAACCTTGTTTTACCAAACAGGGGAGATAGAGGAGATCTCTGTAGTCTTCTAAACAGGGCAACAAGTCGATTGTGTATTTCAGACCGAGTGTCTGTGTGTTTTGGACCTCAGTGCGGTCATTCAAAGGAGAGCAGGGTTCGTCTGAGCCGCCGTTTATCTGAGAGCTGTTGGCTTTGTTGTGAGAGAGTCCAATCTGTGAGGAAGATCTTTACCTCAAGACAAAAGAGGTTAAGAGCGGGTTAACAGGCACCCAGGGCTCGTATTGACAGTGGCTATGCGGTTAAACACACGATAAAACTCACAAGGTAGAAAAGATATAGCGGATCTGTGGCTCTGTTTCCCTCCAAAAAGCTGCCTCTGTCGGCTGTGCGCTTCCACAGGCTCGTTAAAGCCGGCCTTGGCCCGGAGCTGGAGCCTAGCTAAGCTGCTAATACCTCAGCTGTTGTTTCTGAGGAGTTTTGAAGTGTCAAGGTAATGTGGAGGCTTTCGGTTCTCCTCAGTTCATATTTGTTCTAATAAATAAGTTTCACATGTCATTTCAGAGTCAGTGGTTTGGTTTTATTTACCCTGTGTTGGAAATCTGTGTGTGGTCCAGTTTCTAATGGTGAGCGATATATATATATATATATATATATATAATATATATATATATATATATGTATATATCGCTCACCATTAGAAACCGGTATATATATATATATATATATATATATATATATATATATATATATATATATACATACATATATACATATATATACCGTGATATTAAGACGACATATTGATTTTCAGTCTTAAAGGTGTTGATAGATGAACATTTTATCATAAGTTACACTGTTTTTTCATGAAATAGTGGCATTGTACTGCATAAGGTTCCTATTTGGTGTAATATTACAAGCAAAAAAGGATAGAACAGTTAGAGATGCACACATGGGATGTCTGATATCGGAAATTGTTCATGTACATTTCTGCAGATGTCGAACATAAACATTTAGAAATGTAGAAATTGGGACTACATCTACCTGAATTAGCATTGCAGAGAAATGTCAAGCGTTTTTCAAGGAAATTCAGATATTTTAGAATAGTAACTCAATGTGGCCTAAATTTTCTGCTCCTCTGGAGTACAATAAAGGTGGCATCAAATATTGATTTGAAGTATCAAATCTTATCAATTCTAAACATCTGTCCAATGCCACACAAATTTAGCTTTTTAAGCAAGTATCTGCTGATGCCTTGCATCTCTAAAAACCATCCAATCACAACAAGCTATCCTAGATTTGCTAGACATTGTTTTAGCATAGAGCAGGAATAATTAAATAATCTCAGGAACAGTTGGTTCATTATGGCTAACTTTATCAATGCTAACTTAAGTCATATGATACCATCATTTATTTGGGAAATATTGTGATATTTAATTTTTGACAATATCACACAGCACTACCTGTTACAGTGTTATTATGGGTACCAAAACTATTTTAATAACATGGTAACAGGGCCATATTTAGTCAAAATTATATGTATTGTGGTGTGTGTGTTTCCTGTTTGTTTAGCAGCAGTCGAGCAGCTATTACATTAGTTCTTGGGAGTAGTTTGTGATTTCATGGAGACAGTGTCCCGATTGGGAACAGACATCACAGGCAGTTAAAAGACCATTAGTTGGTTTGCTTTTGCTCCAGGGAATCAGCTGTGGAGAGAGAAATAAAGGATTTAGAGCCTTAGCATATTAAACCTGGCTGATTTACTTACCACATTCACACATTTGTTAACATTGACTCTCAAAGCTTGGGTTACATTTGCCGAAATTTGTCTCGGGCTGCCCCCTCAGGCTTTTTAATATCTTAGGCCTCGGAACTGAGTCCTGTGTGTCTGTTGTACTGAGGCCTTAAGCATTGTTTCATCCTCCCATGGTGGTCTCCTTAAGAATCTTTGCATATGAAAGACAGAGACCTTTATGTGTAACGGCTCTTCGTTGACAATAGCTCTAGCTCCGTATTTCAGGAGCTCAGATTGCATTGGTGACTGAGGAATGTGCTCATCTGAGATGCAGAGCCAGATTTCTGGACACAGATTAAGACCACTGTTGGATTAAAATACATGGTCAATGGGGATTCTCAGTGGAAAAAGCTCTCTTCGTCAGGACTAGGCCTAATCTTTATCCAGTAAACTGGGCCCTTGTGTACAAAGGACATCTTATTTAAGGCGTGCAGCACAGCACATGTTCAGAAGGCAAATGAAAAGAAATAGTTTGAGCAGGTTGCTGTTATTAGACATTTCCTCCCCTTTGAAGTGTGTAGTATTTGTTTTGCTCCACTTGGCTGTCAGACTAATACCTTACAGAGTGAAAATGAAAATGGCTGGGGGAGCAGCTAATCCACATAAGAATATTTAGAGGATTGCGGCTGGAGTCTATCATGCCAGCCTTGCTATTGATTGGTTGCTTTACTCTAGGAAAAAAAAAGAGGAGACGAGATCCTTTTTATTTATTTCCATCTCAGCTGTGGTTAAACATATGACTGTTGTTGTTTTTGATTATATTTTATTCTCTACAGTGCGTTCGTGGTAAACACATGAGTGACACACTCCTTTAGATTTGAATGTTGTGCTATTTCTTTGGTTTTCTGCAGCAGTCGTGTTTGTTGAATAACCTTTCTGAAAAATACCCTTTTTCACAAGTATAAAAGAAAAATTATGAAAGCAGTAGCGCAGTAGATAGATGTTGGATTAGGCAGTCAGATCTTTGTGGAAAAAGCTGCATTTCTGACACACATTGTAAGGGAAAAAAACATGAAATTGGATAGTGAGGACTTAAGTGCACTCTGCCACTGACAAAGACAAAAGCTGCTCATTATGTCCACCATCCACATTGCTGGAATAAAGATGTATCTTGGCAGAATTAGAATTATTTTCTAAAGAGACCTCAGTGGCCTCTAAAATTAATTTCACGCCAGTATTTGGAGTGTTTGATCTCCATTTATTCAAAAAGAGCTTTTTTTTGCACAGAAACACTGCAGCTTTTTCAGTAGAAAAACTTGTGAAGTGAATTGGGATGCCTGTTGGCTGAGTAAAAGAGTCCATTAGGTTCTTTCTCATGCATGTATCTGTTCCGTACCATTAGTCAGGAAACTACTGCAGAAAAATTAGGGACGCTGTGCGGTGGTAGAAAGTGCTGTAAGACTCAACTATGCCGTATTGCGCTAATACTGGAAGAATGAATGAGTGAAAGCATGTCAGTGTCTCAAGTGTCAATCAATATTTTATTATCTGTAATGGTCACTTTCTGCCAGATTAGGAAACTTGATGGATTGAGGCTTAAAATGCCACATTTATTTCAATCAGTGAGCCATTTAAATAGAAGTCATTTGCACTTCACCTATTTACAAGTAAACATGATCAGTCATTACCAGAATGCACCTTGACGCTTGCTGGAAATTGGAACCATCTTATTAACGGATGGTTTAAATCTGTTCTGCAGGTAGTTAATGAACTGAGGAATTGAATTCTGAAATGCAGCAACAGCACAACCCCCCACCTACGTCTTTAGCTGGAGAGCAGCTTGAGCATGATGATGCAGTTTACTGTACTTCATATCGCTGTTCACACTGAGTAAATTCTCATTAAATGGAGATTACAAGGAGGCATTAGCATTACCTTTAAAAACTGTTCAGCCCCATAGATGCTTTATGTGTTAAGTTTAATCCTTGCTTGTAATTTAAAATAGATATAT